GAGAAAATATATGACTTGAAATAATATGACTTCCTGGGTCCATATTTTAAATCAATAATTGTAATAAAAATAATAATATATCTCTAGAGGAATTTATATTTTCTGATAAAATTATTACAAATAGTACTTGAAGTTAATTTTGAAGCACTTAATGATTAAAGTCATGGCATTATTTGCTAGAAAATGAAAAATAAGTGAGTATATATCATGAGTGTATTTCTGGTTCTGGGTTTCCTCACTCAGGATGATCTTTACTAGTTGCATCCATTTGCCTGCAAATTTCATAATTTTCTTCTTTTTAATAGCTGAGTAGTATTCCATTATGTAAATGTACCACAATTTCTGTAACCATTCTTTGGTTTAGGGACATCTTGGTTGTTTCCAGATTCTGGCTATTACAAATAAAGCTGCTATGGATATACTTGAGCAAATGTCCTTGTTGTATGGTGGAGCATCTTTCAGGTATATGCCCAGGAGTGGTATAGCTGGGTCTTGAGGTAGGGCTATTCCCATTTTTTTCTGAGAAAGCATCAGATTGATTTCCAATGTGGTTGTACAAGTTTGTACTCCCAATAGCAGTGGAGGAGGGTTCCCTATTCTCCACATCCTCTCCAGCATGTGTGTCAGTAAGCAGATAATAGCCATATAACATAAGATAAACATACTATCTACAGACTTGAAGAAGGTAAACAACAAGAAGAACACTAAGGATGATGCATAATTCTCATTCAGAAGGCAAACAGGATAGACACCAGAAGTGGCAGAAGAGAGGAAACAGGATGGGAGCCTACCATAGATGTCCTCTGAAAGACTTCACCCAACAGGGGATCAAAGCAGATGCAGAGACTCACAGCTAATCTTTGGGCAGAACGCAGGGAATCTTATAGAAAGGTGGTGAGTGAAATAGAAAGAACTGGAAGCACAGTTCCACAAGGAAAGCAACAAAGCAGGGAGGCCTGCAGAGACTGATGCATCAACCAAAGACCATACTTGAAGAGGACATAGACCTCTTTGCTCAGATGTAGCCCATAGGCAACTCAATCTCCATGTGGGGTTCCTAGTAATGAAGCAGGGACTGTCTCTGACATGGACTCTGTTGTCAGCTCTTTGATCACTTCCCCCTGGCTGCCAGCCCACATAAGAAGATTCAGGAATATGAGTCTCTGGGAAGTTCCCTGTGTTCAAATTTTCTTGTTCTGTTGCTCTCCTTGTGGAGTTCCTGTCCTCTCCAGCCCTTACTACTTCCCACTTCTTACATAGAATTCCATTCACTCTGCCTGTCAGTTGGCCATCAGGCTCAGCATCTGCTTTGACAGTCTGCACAGCAGAGGCTTTCAGAGGCCCTCTGTGGCAGGTTCTGAGGTTGTTTCCTGTTTTCTTCTTCTGGCTTTCAGAGGCCCTCTGTAGCAGGTTCCTAGGTTGTTTCCTGTTTTCTTTTTCTTCTGATGTCCATCCTCTGCCTTTCAGGATGGGGATTGAGCATTTTTAGTTAGGGTCCTCTCTTTTGCTTAGTTTGTTTAGATGTTTAGATTCGTGGAGAAAACCTAGAACCCTGACAATGCAGCCACTTTTGATGAGAACTGATACACTAAGATCAGAAAGAAGGAGAGGAGGACCTCCCCTATAAGTGGACTTGGGGAGGAGCATGCATGCAGAAAGGGGGGGAGGGTGGGACCGGGAGGGGAGGGGGGAGGGGCTTATGGGGGGATACAAAATGAATAAAGTGTAATTAATAAAAGTAAAAAAAAAGAATAGGGATAACTATTAAAATCTTAACATTAAAATGTTGCAAAATCTAAAGAACTTGGGGGAAACGCTAAGAACATATCTCATATGCCATGGCTCCCAGCATATTTTAATTCTCAAGTTACTAAAGCAATTAAACAACAGCACAGCTCAGTCCTACTGTAAACTACAACTCATACTCATGTTCTATAAAAGTCCTGAAAGCAAGTATGTCAAGCTCAGCAACCAGCCATCGGCAAACCTCTTTGAAGATGAGTGTAGATATTTTTAAATAAACTGATTTGTGATCACAAAAAAAAAGAAGATTCAGGAAGTCCTAAGGAGACTTGATAAGCTATGGTCAGATAGTTGGGGAGGAGGATTCCCCTTTCAGTGGACTAGGGAAACAGTATAGGGGGGAAGAAGGAGGGAGGGTGGGACTGGGAGGCTACAATCATGATATAAAGTGAATAAATTGTAAAAAATAAAATAAAATAATTTGAAAAGAAAAGAAAATGTAAACGTACAATAGAGTTAAAGGCATTTGTCATGTAACTGTTTGGAAGATTGTGAACAAGTAAGAGGCCTGAAATGCTTAGCACAGAGTCAGTAAACACAAAATACTCTTTAATAAGTAAGAGTAGGAGAGCCAGAGAGATGGGTCAGCTGGAAAAACCCTGTCACCAACCTAATGACCTGAGGTTGATCTCTGGAACCCACATGATGGAGAGAACCAACTGCAGTATGTTTTCACCTGATTTACTCTCTCTCTCTCTCTCTCTCTCTCTGTTTCACACACACACACACACACACACACACACAGAGAGAGAGAGAGAGAGAGAGAGAGACACACACACACACACACACACACAAATAAATGTAAGTAAAGATTTTACATAGATGCGCTAAAAATCAATGAAATTGATATTCATCATTCGTCAGGAAGTTTGAGGCCATGTCAGAAAGGAGATAAAACCAAAGGTTTGGGAACACAAAAAGACAGGGTACCATATATGTGGTCTAGTCTACTACACATGATATTTGGACCAGTTAAACTTAGGTGTTTCTTTTATGTCATTGATATATATATATACATATATATATATGGCTGGGCAAATGGCTTAGTGAAGAGCAAATACTATTCTTACAGAGAAGCAAAGTTTGGTTCCCAGAACCCAGTACACACTTTGGGTGACTCACAACCATCTACATGTAACTCCAGCTTCAAATGGCTGTGGAGCCTCTGGCCTCCTGGAGCACCAACACTCATACACACACTTCCACAAAGGAGCATAGGGAAACACAGAATTAAAAATAAAAAGCAATAGCATCTTTTTAAAATGAAGACAACAAAAGTATCTGCCTCACAGAGTTGTCAGGAAGGTTGAAAGTGTGGGTCTGGCAAGTAAAAAGCTACATACTTTTCATTTTAAAAATCAATTTTTCTAATCGATGTAATTATTGATTTTTCAGGATTAACATTCTCAATATTTCATCATTTATCAGTATTGTTATAATCAGTCTTAAACACTCACCCTGAAATGTCAGAATGCCTTCCTTGAAGCAAAGTGCTGTATCTCAAGGTATGTGTAAAAAACTCAAATACTCATTTGAAGATTCTGTCAAGTGCATTTCCAGGAAAGCTATCCTAACAGAAAAGTTTCTTATGTCATTGAACATACAGAGGAGTAGAGATGGAATCCTGTCAGTTTCTTAACCATTCTTTGATAAATCATGAGGATAAGCATTTTTCACGTCATACCCATCAGAAGTTCTTTGTTTGCTTTTGATTTTTAGTCCTGGGAACTGGACCCAACATTTCACCTCAACTCAGCAAGAACATGTTCCACCACCAAATAATGTCGTCTGCCCTTACTTAACCCTCTCTACATTTTTATTTCAAGACAGGTTCACTAAGTTGTTCAGGGTCGCTTTTTGAACTCATGATCTCCCTGCCTCACCTTCATTCTCCTCCAGCTAATTTTTTTTCTTCAAACATTTTTCCATCTGAAAAAGTAAACCATTCACCATTTAGCTTACTTACTAGGTCCTTTATATCTCAGTTCAATTGCATTGTCAAAATTATGGTAATTTAAAATACACATTTACCTGCTCAAATCTCTTGTTCTTGGCTTATATCTTCTGAAATATCTTGTAAGGAACCTCATTCACCCCAACATGGAGTCTAAGTACTTCATGTTTTAGTCTAATACTGAAACTTTTTATGTGTACATGTTTAAATCTTTATCTGAATTAGGAAGTAGTGAAGTGTGAAATTGGGCCTTCCATGTTTGTGTGTGTGTGTTTTAATTAATTTATTTTTTATTAATTAAGGTTATTCAATTTGCATCCCAGCTGTAGCCCCTCCCTTGTCCCCTTCTAATCCTACCCTCCCTCCCTCTGCTCCTCCCATGTCCCTCCCCCAGTCCACTGATAGGGGAGGTCCTCCTCCCCTTCCACCTGACCCTAGAAGTGTTTGGCAAGTTTTCTGAGGACTCGCTGTAAGATACTTCATCCTGTCTCCACTCATCCTGAGGTCTGCTCTGTTGGGTATCACATCTGTTGGTGCTCTTGGCTCTGACTCTGAGAAGGGGGGCTGATGATGAACAGAGAGCAAGCAGCCTGGTTGAGTACTCCTCATCAGTTAGTCCCCTCTCTTCCCTCTTCCACTAGCCTCTTAGCTTATATGACAAAGGTCAGTAACCAATGTGAAGGCCTCTCTGTTTCCTAGGTTGTACATTTGCAAGACTTTATAAACAATTGGTTTTTGTGGTGGTGGTTTTAGTTGTTGCTCTTTTCTTTTCCCTTCTCTTCTCTTCTTTTCTTTTCAAGTCACAGGCACCGTTCCCCGGTACCCAACCTCCACCTGCTTCTACTGTAGCTCTTTGCTCCTTAGAGTGAGAGTGCTTAACTGAGCCTGTGAGTTTTGTACTCTTGGGATCTAACTTCCTCAGAAGGGAAGCCAGATGCACCTTTGTTTCAGGAAAGTCTCCAGCTCATTGTGTCTAACAAGCCTTCCTAGAAATCCCTGGCATGTGGGTGGCACTTATTCTTAGTTTGCAGCGTAAGGGCAGATGTGTATTTATTTGCCCTTGCATATTCTGGTTATCATTTCAGAGGAAATTGGAGGTGGGTGGAATAAAACACCTGTGTTCCAGTATACTACTTGCCAGAAAGCCAATCGGCTTCTTCATTAACAGCACTCCTGTCTTCTGCAATTTGCAAGAACACCTTGTGCTTGGAAACAGGCAGTAAACAACGTGCACACACATTACCTTTGATGGCTGCTAAATATCCCCGGAGTTCTCTCTGCAGTCTGGTACCCTCTGCCTGAAAAATACACAATTACAGAGACGCTAAGCATCTATATTTTGCATGCAAACATGTAAAAAGCAATAAGATTCAGTTATCATTGCCAGAACCCTGTTATTGATAGAATATAAATATATAAGCACAGTATGAGCCAGATAATGTGCCCGCCAGTCTTGGTAATTATTATATGGTGGTATTCAGAAGGAAAAAGACAAATAAGATTTTGCTAAGAGTAGAAAATACAGTCGAGCAGACAGACTCTTATGTACCTAAGGAACACTTTCTCTTTTAGTTTTGACACCCGGGAATAGCAATACAGATGCTGTCTCCTCTGCTCAGAATGGTAGCTGGCTGTTGTAAGTCAGTCTGGTGGCCTGTGAGAAGGCAAATGCTGAGGCACAATGCTCTTCACATATCTTAGTCTTGTGATCATGTGCCAAAGTTGCAAATCGAACCTTTCTGCCTGAGATAATGGGAACAATTATGGCTGTCAGATTCACTTAACAAACCAACCAAATGATTATAAGTCATCATCCAACACAAAGCTTGAAATATCTAAGCAAATATGTGTATCACACAAACGGCATATACCCCTAAACAGCCAGTCAAAGAACTTGGAGTATATAACAGCCATGAAATGTCATAAAAACATAAAAAAATGTTTTAAAATATAGTCAGTGATACAATTATTAAAAAAAATCTGAAAAAAATGATTTACCTGAAGAACATGTTTGACTCAGGTGCTTCTTTTGGAGTACCAATGGAGGGCAGAAAGAATGACATTGTTTCTGCAGAATCCATGCAGCACGCAGGTAAAGTATATATTTGAGTTACTCTCAGGCTAGTTTTACAACTCTGTATACTATTAACATCGGATAAGAGCTGAGGGATATGGCATTTACTGGAACGTGTGAACTTCAATCAGAGTGATTCCATTTAGGATGGGAGAAGAAAATCGTCAAGTTCTAAGTAAGTCACTTCCCTCTTAGTGTACAGACAGGGAGTAAAATAAACATTCTAGTGTTCCCTTGACTTGATGCGCCATTTAGAACCACATGTGAAGGAAAACAGCAAAAAGCTGGGAAAAGTGGGTGAAACTCTAAAAGAAAAGAGTACTCTAGAAAAGCATTCAGCAGAGAAGCTAAAGGGAGAGGATTTTGAGGAAACACATCTGAGGTAAGGTGGAGAGTGAAGAGTTTCCAGAGGAGCCACAGTCCTCACTGCTAAGGCACAACCTTGAGAAACGGACTTTTCGCACTGAAATTTAAATCTAAATACAGTACATCATCCCCTGCCTTATCACCCCCTCACTTTCTACAGAGGCCATAATCCACAGTCAATTCTGGTCCAAAGGCACTTAATGGAAAATTCCATAAGCAATCCTAAATTCTCATTTGTGTGCCATGGTGAGTCATGCCTTGATCTCCCCCTCACAGAAATGTAAATCCTATGTTTGATGAAGGTACACACGCTGTGTATGCTTCGCACCCTTTTATCACTACCCTGTCTTCCAGGAAACTTTGTCTTATAATGGCCACCAGAGTGGAGCGCTCATCATGATGGTCTAGATATACCAAAGAGACTCCGTAAAGTTCTTGCCTAGAGTCAAAAGGTAAGAGTTTTGGACATAAGAAAGGAGAAAAATAGTTTGATGTGGTTATACAAACTTAGTAGCTATAAAAAGTTATTGTTGTTAACCTTCTACCATGTCTCATTTACAAACATGTAGATTAAGGTATGAATTATGGGAAAAACAATATATACAGGTTTGATATAATTTGTGGCTTCAGAAAATTTGGTCTGTATTGCCCAAAGAAGAGTAAATGTTGTATATGAAAGATGCAGCTATTGGACTTCTGTTGGTCCAAGTAGAACTAAATGTAGTGCGTAGGCCATGTAGTGACTGGAAGGGCCATGAAACACCATGCTGGGAGCCATCATACAGCCCTGATATGTCTCTTCTGTGCCTGGAGCCCTACAGTGTTTCACATGGGGAAGGAGCTGCTTGTTTGCCCTGGGTCCTGCATGAGAGGAACAAGTTAAGAAGCTCCTTTCTGCATTTCTGAAAGTAAGAACTATTTCTGTAGAAAGCCATGGAGGTACCTCAGCAGAATGTAGACCAAACTGCCCAATTAAATGAGTCATGGTGAACAATGAGAATGCTGACCTGCAGAAAGGGCAGAAAGACAACAACAAAGGATTCCGTAGAGTTGCTGAGCAGAAAAGCATCGTCGGAATTTGCAGAAACATTCAGAAAAGAACACAAAGCAGAAATGCTAAGGATGGTTAGAATGGTCAGGCGATAACAGAAGCTTGAACAATGGAAAGAGACGGGATGGTGCTGAGAGAGAAGCCAGGTTTCCCATCAGAGCTTAGGGGACCTAGAGGGAATCAAATCTGAGTTCAGAAAATGTTTAATTTTCCCCATAAGGAAATAAATATTTCAGTAACAACCCCATTGAGCTCTACATAAATTCTACCTGATCCCAAAATGCAATAGGCTTTGCAGAAAAATTCACCTACAGTATGTCATGATGTAGCTTCTTTTACATGTTGAAATTTGCCTACATCATTATTGTGGATGAACCATTCGATTTTCCTAGGAAGATTTAGAACAAAAGCAATCTGAAGCTGAAAGTTCTAAAGGGTGCATTTTAGGGGGATCTGGGTTCCTCAATGTCACATTCCCCAAACCAGAAAAGTAGAGAATTGGATCCTGTCAGTGGTTTCTCCACGGCTCATACAGAGGAATGATACACTGCAGCTGTTAGGCCAGAACCTCAGATGCCTCTGACTTTCGGACCCTGCCTCTGCTGTTCGTGGTTCTTCTTGGTAACAGCCCAGGGTCACAGAGATGAAGGAAGCCTCACTTCACACCAAGAAAGATGCTTTCCCTTCAGCATCTCATGCAAACAGCATGCAGAGTCCACTATGAAAACAGGTGGCCAGAGGCCACGAGGGTATGCCAGAGTCCACTGTGAAAATGGGCAGTCACGGGTCACAGAGTGGTTTAGAGTATCTGCAAATATCAATAGTCACAGGAATGCTCATCTCCCAAACATTCATGGAACAATGTATGTCAGATAAAGTCCACAATTAAGCCACTGCCTTTTCTTTGAAAACAAGAAAGAAAACTAAATTATTCATGCTCTATTCCATACACTGGATTCATCTCGCCAACAAGAAACAGTGTTTTTTTAAATAAAGTGAGATTCTCAGAAGAGATCATTTTTTAATGTAACAGTGAGGAATAGTTCAGACTGTACAATGCCAGCTTAAATAGACGAATTCAATTTAAGCCAAAATATCCAGGGCTAATTTAAATTACTTTCTTCCTTCCCAGTTATTAACATGTTTAATTTTTCCCATAAGGAAATAAATATTTCAGTAACAATCCCATTGAGCTCTACATAAATTCTACCTGATTCCAAAATGCAAAAGGCTTTGCAGAAAAATTCACCTACAGTATGTCATGATGTAGCTTCTTTTACATGTTGAAATTTGCCTACATCATTATTGTGGATGAACCATAGATGCCTGCAATTCAGAAAATCTTCATCTACATGTAACCATCCTCACATCTATTAAATAGGCCAGGATCATTGTCACTGATTAGGTGTGATGTTTCTAGGGCTTGGCTGTTGTTGGCTTATAACGGAAAATCATAGAGACTTAGCCTTTTCCCTGTAATCCTTTACTGTTCTATAATAGTTTAGCTGATGGCTTTCCTTCCCTACTCTCCTTGTCTGTGCTGGCCTTGTCTGCATACCTTTTTCTTTGTAATACAGCCACACCTTGAAACACTGACTTGCTACTGTTCTGAAAAATGCTTGACCAATGCCCTGTGTTTTTATGGTATTTGTTTTTCACATTCATTTGTAATGATTTCTCCACTTTTTCTAATGCTTCTTTTGTATCTCCATGGAACTCAGACCTCAACACAAGTTCTCCTCGACTTAAGTGGAAAAATCCTTATCCCACTGCTCTGTTCTCATTGAATCTGAATCCATTCTGAATTCCTCCGAGGATGGTCATTTCTATAACTCAGTCTGGAATTTGGTATTCTCTGTGTGTAGAAAATATATTTAAATCCCCACACCTGTACTATTACATGCCTTTACTTTTCCCAACTATGTTTTATATAATTCTCCACCAAATGGTGTTAAAATTATTATTCCACCTTGTGATCACAGTCTCTTCAGGGCTTATGGCCACAGGGGAGCAAAGAAATCTATTACAATTAAGTCATCTGAATTTCTTTGTAATGCTCTTCTTTGGAAAAGATTCAAGAAGAATCTTCTACCTACAAAGTCCCTTATCCTTCCACACACTACAGCATTGCAATATAGCTCCAGTGTTTTTCAGAAGTTTTCTTTTTTCAACTTAATCATTTATCAGTTCATCAGTAGCTACTTGCTATTTCTCAAGCTGAACTGGTTCCCAAGCTTGCACCTTCCCATACACAGCCTAAAGGATTTATAGCCCCTTTTCTTCCACATTAAAGCTCTTTCACTCAGTCTTCCCATGGGGTCTCACACACTTCCAGCACAGGGAAGAAGGAGACACCCCCTCAAGATGCCTTCTTCTCAGATCTCCTGGAAACATATGAAGGTTTCATCATAGAGGTTTCAAAAATTAGCCAGCACATACAAAGTTCTTATCGATTTAAAGGCCTCTGCATAGATCTGAGAATAGATGCCTCACTCAAAAAGCCTTAATGAGTTCTATGGCTTCCTGATTCTTTCTCTTGTGGGCAGTTCTCATCAACACACCCCCTAAGCATCAGTTTGAAAGTAAAAATCAAATTAACAGAGAAACACTACAGTGAGCACGTCAACAGTTAACATTTCAAAGATCCGTGTTAGTACAAGAATGTCACATTTCATGCTTAACTCAATGTGTTTTCAAGTTGCTTTTCAGCATGTTAGCCCAGAGTAACAAAAGCTTGCTAATTATTGATATGTCTGTCAGAGAGGGCAGACCACCCAAGCTTCAAAACAGTTTCATTTGTAAGAGCC